CACAGGCTTTGAAACACACCACTAAGAAATATTTTATTCAGAAGATTTATGTCTAACACAATCACTAGTGATCAAGACCCAGAATAAAGTTCGCTTGGTTAAATTAAATTAAATTATTCAGACCCTTTCAGAACTCCAACACATGACTTCAGGACTATACCATTTGCTTTAATCACAGCAGCATAAACCTTGAAGCAAACCATATTTCCTCTTGGAGTAAAAACTGGAACCAAGAGAAAGCCTTAGCTTTTGAGGAAAAGTGTTTTATTACAACAAAATAAGCAATCACACCACATGGCTTTTATCCTCAGCATAAATATTTCTGTTTTGAACATAACTTCATTTTCAGACCGTTTGATTTGTTTCTTTCAAGGTCCACATGGGCATGTAACATAGGCTTAGATAAGATAGTGTCAGATAATGCTTCAGAAAACTCACGTTCAGGGAAAGATTTCATTTGCAGCTTTTCCATCTTAGACAAACCCATTCAGTTTTCATTTTCTTGCTTATTAATGGATTTTATCAGCAAATTAGCTGGCCACCTACTTTCTACCCCAGTAGACAGCAACTTCTCCCCTTCATAGTATTTAAAAACTTCAACATTAATTGTTGTTTTACTCAGTCTCTCTTCCCTGTTAACCTCTCCCAGAGCTTCCTCCTTCCATGGTGTCCCTGTAGTAACAGGATTTCAGTTGTTTGACCAACTGGGAATTTCCCTTCCCTAAGGCAGCCCAACAGCCCACATGCCTCTTAAACCCTTTATTTTGGTGTTTCAACGGGATAAGGAAAAACTTGTGCTTCATCCTGCTTTCCCAGGTTCTCCTCGCCTGCCTTTTCACAGTGTTCTTGCAGAATATACCATTTTTATTTTGGATACCGCTACATGATTTACATAGTGATCACCACCACGAAATCGAAAAAAATTAAATCACCCACAAGCGATCTATTAACTTAATTCAGTTCGTACCTGGAAAGTGTAATTTTTAAGTTCAAAAGCGCTTTCGTACGGTGGAACGCACTTAAGAGGAACCGACAGCGGACTTCCCACGGCATTCCCGGGGCGAAGCTCCTCACTCGCCCCGCCCAGCAGGTGCGACAGCACCTACAGCCGCCGGGGAGTTTAACATGAGGAAAAAAACTTCCCCTTCTAACCCGCAGCTGCCTTGCGGGGCAGGCCGCAGCCCTTTTTTTCCCCACGGATAAGGGCGCACCGCTCTCCTTTCCCTGAGGGCAGAGCTCGCGGGCCGTCGTGAGGGGGCACGCGACGCCCTCAGCCTCGGCTCGGCCGCGCGCGGGGAGGGGCGGGGCCGCGCGCGGGGCCGCGCGCGGGAAGGGGCGGGGCCCGATTCGAACCGGGCGGCGGGGAAGCGGCAGCGGCGGCCATGGCGCAGCCCCAGCTCGGCCGGGAGCATCAGGGCATCACCCTGCGCGGCAGCGCCGAGCTCGTCGCCGAGTTCTTTTGTGAGGGGCTGCGGGGGAGCCCGGTGGCCTTGGGGGCCGCGGTGGGGGAGAGAGAGGGAGGGAGGGAGGCTGGGGAGGGCTGGAAGGCCGCGTCTGGTGGGGAGACATGGCCGCCGGCGGGGTGGGGCGGTGGTACACATCCCTCTTCCTCTCCCTATTTCTCTCCCTCTTCTTCTGGCTTTCCCCCTCGCAGCCTATGGAATCAACAGCATCCTCTACCAGCGCGGCATCTACCCCCCCGAGACCTTCACCCGCGTGCAGAAGTACGGGCTCACCCTCCTGGTCACCACCGACCCCGAGCTGACCAACTACCTCAACAACGTGACGGAGCAGATGAAAGGTGCGGGGGAGGCTCCCGGGCCCTCCCTGGTGTGCCTCTGCTGGCCCTTCTCGCTCTGACAGTGACCGCTTGGCTTCTTTCAGAGTGGCTGTACAAGTGCATCGTGCAGCGCCTGGTGGTCGTCATCTCCAGCATCGAGAACAACGAGGTCCTGGAGCGGTGGCAGTTCGACATCGAGTGTGACAAGACTGCGAAGGATGACAAGTGAGTAACACAGCCCCTCCACACCTGCTTTTCCTGACCCCGAGGAGCTGTGCAGGCACAAGATCCAATGCCATGTGCTTGTTCCTTCACTTGTTCCTCCTTTCTTAGTCCTTTTATGATCGAACCATACATAATCGTCAGGTATTTTTTTTTTTTTCAAGTATCAGATCAAACTTTGATTTTTAATCCTCAACAAAGCATATAAAATCCTGTACACTTGGGTACATACCCAAAGAACTGCTGCTTTCCTGTTTATATGCCAAAGTGTTCTCTTTCATTTCGGACTGAGAATAAATTTAACGTTCCTTACAAATACTGGGAAGCTGCATAAACAACAACAAAAGGAGACCAGCTATAGTCTTTTCTAAGTCTATCTACCTAAGGTTTAAAAGTGTCACTATTATAAACATACTGTAGCAAACAGACCAACAGAGCTTAATAGAGAGAACTGTATTTAAAGGAAACTGTCACCACAGTAGAAGTTTTCTTTCTTACCAGAGTTTTCTTGCTTTTCCAGTGGACCCCGAGAAAAGTCTCAGAAAGCAATTCAGGATGAAATTCGCTCTGTCATCAGACAAATAACTGCCACAGTAACTTTCCTGCCACTGCTGGAATCTGCCTGTGAGTACTCCAAACGTCACTAAAGAAAACAAACACTTTTGGAAAACCTCAACAGCTTTTCCATTTTAGCAAATATTTTTTTGCTGATTTTCTGAGGCTTTTTGATTATTACATGTCATGTACCATCACGTTTCTGAGACAGCACTTTGTTAGACTGAGATCAGGACAGATTTCGGGGTGGCTTAACTAACTTAAAGAAACTACTGTGTGTGTTCTGAGGAGTGTAAGTCGATTTGTGACTAGCTGTGGACTAGCTTGTGTTACACTGAGGTCATATCAAGTGTGACACAGAGCTCAGCTCCACAGCATTTTAAGATGCTTAAAAAAATTCGCAACACTTGAGAAAACTACAGTGTCCTCAGATGAATATAACAGTATGACTTGGTTTTGTGTTTTAAATACTTTTTATTTTCACATAAAAGGTATCACTGTAACTTCTGAGAACACGGGTTCGTTTTCAGGTGCTAGAAGATGCACTTCAAACCTGCCATCTCCTTACGTGTGTATTACTATTAATTAATTTGTTGCCATTTGCTTACAGGTGCCTTTGACTTGCTGATATACACAGATAAAGATCTGGCAGTGCCAGAAAAGTGGGAAGAGTCTGGGCCACAGTTCATTACCAATTCGGAAGAGGTTCGTCTGCGTTCCTTCACCACCACGATCCACAAAGTAAACACCGTGGTGGCTTACAAGAGGGATTCTGTTCCCTAGGATACAGGGAGGGGGCTTGTGGGGGTGTATATATCCTATCACCTTGTATAGTTTCTGTTCATAGTGCAGCTGAGCCACGACCACACCATTACTGTTGCTCTTGCTGAAGTATGACACAAAAAAATTCAACATGCTTGAGATAATGTGATAGAACACTAGACTGAGCTGGCATCATGGGAATAGTTCAATTCTTACTTTATGAGCTAAACTAATGGTGTGTTAAACCACTGCCTTCACTAGAAAAACTGCCAAAATCTAGGATTAGCTGCTGGAATTGTGTTCAATTCCTTTAATTTTGTATTTTAAGATTATTTTAAACTGTAGTCTGTTGGCAGGCTTAAGTTTTCTCTCTGGCAACTAAAAAAAAACCTCACTCCTGAGGTACCAGTTTTAATGTTAAAAGCTTGGGCTGTTTTACTACCAGAAATAACCCTAAAAAGAATCAACTAGGCAATTCTTGTACCTTTTGTACAGTGAAAGCAGCTGTTTATCAGGAAAACTTTTAAATATATGAAGCCTTGTATTTTAATGACTGCTGGGCTCTAGTTCTGGGGACGGTGTTGTTCTGTCTGTCTTTAGTGTCTGTCAAGCATTTTCCATGTTTGTATTCTTGTTTTATAGAATAAAGCTTCAAATTTTATAGTATTCTGTAATTCAGAGTCTGCAGTACTTTGTATTTCTGATGGTTTTATGAATGCTGAATCTTAGTTTGTAATACAACTAACACCCTGAAGGCATCCTACTTGTTTCCTTTGATTCTCTAAACAAGTCTTGTGCAGTCAACATGAAATCTATTTATGGATTAATAGTTTGACCCCCTTTAAGTCTTCAAATAACAGTAAAAATAGTCACACTGGGCTAATGATAAAACACAGTGCCTTCCACATTTGTTAGACAGCACAGCATTCTTCATGTGTTCTTACCCATTGCTGCAGTGGAAGAAATCAGGGATTTAAAACTCTGTTAATGGAACTTTCGGACTCTTCCACGGTCCTGTTTGTTCCTTCACCACATTAATTTCAGCCAAAGGACTGGGCTTTTTTCACTCTTTTACAGTGATGTAGAACTCTTTCTGTTATAATAATATAATTCCAGAAGTTTATTTAAAAAACATTGATAACTTGTACCCCACCACTGTATTACAAACCTTCTGGGCTTTCCTACCAGGAAATAATTCTCTCCAGCAGTCCCAATCTAGCAGAAGTAGAAAGGCGGTCTTCTGTAAATCAATCAGTAGCACAAAATCATGCCTTTTTTTTTTTTTTTTTTTTTTTTTTTTTTTTTTTTTTTTTTTTTTTTTTTTTTTTTTTTTTTTTTTTTTTTTTTTTTTTTTTTTTTTTTTTTTTTTAATAAATACAATCTAGGTAATAAAAAAATTTATGAGGGCTGGCACTGCAGTAACAAAGAAACCTGATGTTTTCTTCTGCTTGTTCAGCCTTTTCCTAAACAGGTGGACTGCACTACCCCTTCACACCTAGAAGCAGGTACACTTCAAGGAGTGAAGTCTGCAGTAGTGAGCATAACAAACCTTGTTTAACAGAGATGCAAAAGTCAAATTTCTCATGGAAGTTCATTCTTATATCCAACAGTATTTATCTTCTAAGAAGGACCAGCCCAAAGTCCATGTCCATCATCATCATCTCTGTGTTTCTTCTTTTACAGAGGCACCAACAGTCAAGAGAGATAGTGGATCCCCTTGCATATAGATCATGTCCATTAGTTACATGAGAAAAAGGAACAGGTTATAAATCCTGAAGTTTTCACAAAGACCCTGCAGAACAGGAAAGAAAATAAAAAGCCAGTCAGTCATATTAACACAAAACTTCATGGCGGTGTCCAACAGGATGTGCTGATTCCTAATGGGACCAACACTGCTCATTAGTTTCCCCTACTCTGAAAACAAGGGACTCACCCCTCGTGTCCCATGGCAGTAAGGTTATTAGGAAAGGGAGTAAAGGAGAAGGTTCAGAATTCACCCAACAGGCAGCACTCACCTGACTAGTTCAGCTGACGTATGAGCTGGTTGATGGCTTCCCCTCTGTAGCCAGGCTTTCCCATTTCTTTGAGGAAACCCACTCTGTTACGCGACGCGTGGCGAGCCACCGACAGGTGGAATGGCCACAGAAACTTGGTGACTTTTTTGAAATACTTCCCAGTTGAGTAGATTTCATGAATAAGGTCTTCCAGGCAAATAATACCACAGCCCCCTGCAGAAAAATTAAAATGAAAAAAAAAAAAAGCAATGGCTAACTGTATTATCTTTCCTCACACTGCTCCAGATCACCAGCCCTCTAGTCTGGCAAGATTTTTCTCCCTTCCCACGCTCTCAGGTCAGATTGTAAACTGTCAACTCTTTCCTCAATTTTCTCACCCTCCTCCTCACCTAAATGTTCCTCTATCAGCATGTTGTCTGTCAGAGGCACCCTCTTCTTCTTGATCACGGCCTGGCCCCGTTTCAGGATGAGCTCTCGTACAGATTTCAAGTTTGGGTATCTGTGAAAAAAAAAAAAAAATCAGGTTCTGCAGTGAGAGACACAATGCAGTGGGAAGCACCATCCTTCCTGGGAAAGCAGTAACCAAGCTATGTTGAGGACAAGAAGAAAAGAGACAATAGCAAGTTTTATATATAAATTTGGTTAAGCTTTGACCAGCTATGGATCTGTGATACCAAACGGAGAATTAAAAAGCAGTAACATTCCCATACAAACCACTGCCAAGCCACAGGAGTGGTACTTACCCCCATGCCACATACGGTTCCACAACCCGCAGCAACTTCAGGGTTAACGGGGTCAGTTTAACAAATATCCCGGTGAAATTCTTCCTCAGCCGCAGCAACTCCATCGCTCTTTTTACCCTCCTGGTCACCCCCTTGATACTGAGTCAGAAAAAAACCCAACTGTTAGTAATAAAGACAGCAGCAACAAAAGGCCTCAGATGAGCGCGATGATCGCACTTCATTGGCACAGAAATGTCACAACAAGGGGCAGCAATGATGAAGGTAAGGAGCAGGAAGAGTTTCTTACTCCACAATCCGCACGACGAAGGCCAGTTTGCGCTCCTGAGGTGCCGCCACCGCCTGCCCAGGTCTCTGCTCCATGCGCCTCAGCCGGGTGTCATCGCGGCGTTTGCGCCACGAATCGCGAACAAAAGTCTCAAGGCGTCTGAACTGGATTTGTTTCCCCTTCTGCTGCTGCAGTGAAAAGGAAAAGAAAGTATCACCCACCCCAGCAGTCTCAGAGGTTTGCATCTGACAGGCCAAATGAAATACAGGGCTTGAGGAACAACGTTCCTTCAGCTTTGGAAGCAGTAACAAGAAAATAAATTTGGATATCTAAGCCCAAGGGAGATACAACTGAAGGACAACACTTGAACTTAGAGGAAGCTAGGTATAATTTATGAACAGTGAACAAAGAGTTTTTCCTCATGAAGAATATAAATTAGGGAAAACAGCAACACCCAGGATACTTCTAGACACAGGAGAAACTAATTGGAAGTATCTGCAGCCACAGATGATCACAGCTAGGCACCCAGCTCAGCAATCGCTGGGAAAGCCAGACACAACATCTGTATCTGGGCAAAGAAGATACTACAGAAATACCATAGGTGACTCATAACTACCATCCAACAGAAAATAGCTGGTTTTAAAGTTCTTTTCTATAAAGGCACACATACACACACACACACAAAAAATAAATCCAAGCATTCAAGTAATTATTAAGTATTGCTAATTTATACACAAAACATCCAGCTGGCTTGGAAAAAAACACTTTTCGGAATTATTGGAAAATTTAAAGCATTTTTTAAATTGAAATTGCTTATCCTTAACTTAGGAGCGAATACATCCACCTAAATCATAGTGCATAAATCACAGAAATAGGACTAGAATATGCATGGGAGTTACACAGTAATGCTTAAGATAACACTACTAGTTAAATTATTAAGTAATTTTAAATTATAGCACCTAATGTTATGTCTTTTCTATTCTACCTTGTAAATCACCCATAAATTGGTTTGAATTTTCAAAGCAGCCAGGCCTAATCAAAACCTCATCACTAAGGTCATTTTTCTAATGAGAGTCTTAAGGAGTGGCTATTTAACATTATTGCTTATGCTTCCACTTCCACCTTGAAAATACAGCAAGCCACTGACGTGTTTAAAAACATAAACACGGTATCCAACAAAAAGGGCACTAGTTTTGTACATAATCCCACCAAAACGGGCTTCCCTGAAAAAGCTTTATAACGCTTCTAAGAAGGGTTACAAAGGTGAGCTGGTTTCAGAGAGCGCAGACACCTCAGCAGTGTTACAGTTCCCCACGCGTGGATGTAAACACACCCCACCAGGTCACCTCTCATGCAAGAGGAACAACTCACACACTTCAATACACTTCTGTTCCACCGCAACCAGCCAGAAAGTCTTGCCCTTTTTACGGAGCTCACAGACACACGGAGCAGATGCCCAGGGAGCGAAGAGGCGAGCCCAGGCTCCCCTCGGAGATAACCCCTGGCTGAGCAGACCGATCACTGGCATCGCTTCCGTACGATTACAACGAACTGAGACTCCCTCCTTCGGAGGACAAGCAGGGCCAGCACGACCCCCGCCACCCGCCGTACCTTGCGCTTGTTGAGCAGCGCCTGCTTGGCCTGGGTGGCCTTGATGGCCAGGTACGCCTTCCTCTTCTTCAGCAAGTTCTCCGGCACCAGCGGGATCCGCCGCCTCGGCCTGCGGGCGGGACATCCCGGTCACATCCCGGCCCCACATCCTCCATCCGCCCTTCCCGGGCTGCCCCGCCGCCGCCCACAACCCCGGTGCCGCGCGGTACCCGCGGATCCCGGCGGATCCTTCCTTCCATCCCTCCCTCCTTCCCTCCATCCCACCGCACTCACTCCTCGGTTTCCGCCATCTTGCCGGGGTGGCGCCGCGCATGCGCCGGGGCGGGCCGTGACATGGCCGCTCCCCGCCCAGGTGCCCGTGGCCGTGTCCGTGTGTCCCGGGGCGCTGGGAAGCGGCTGTCCCGGAGGGGAAGGGGCGAGCTGCCGTTCAGCCGCGCGCTGTGCCATGTCCATCCACACGCCGGGAGCCTTGGAGGGAAGGGACGCTGGGACACACGCCTTGTGGACAGCCGGGCCGCCCGCAGGTGGTGCCAGAGCCTCACGCTAAGGAATGCTATTCCCTCCGATGGGGTTGTGTTCCTGGTCTGCTCCCTCTGTGCCGTGCGGGACAGAAGAGGGATGTGTGCCTTTACACTATTAACCATCACTGCGTCTGCCGTCAGCTTGGTTTGCACTGACCACAGTGTTCCCTTACCAGCTGGGAGCTCCAGCCTAGCACTGGAAGGCTCAGTGGTCCCCGGTTTCCCTGCTCGCCTCGGTGATGCTGCAAAGCTTTACAAACACTAAAAATTAGGCCACTTCTGTTTTGACACCTAATACTTGAATATCTGTATTTAGAAACTCAATCCCACCTGCCCAGATGTGTGCTCTGAAAAGAGCACAGCCCTCGGTGAGCAAACACAGCTCCCCATGAACTTTTGGATTTATGACACAGAAAGCAACAAGCTTATAAAACAAATAACGTGAAACTTGCACCAAAACACACCCATAACTACATACATTTCACCCTGTCATTGGGGTAAGCTGCTCCATATAAAAAACCCTGAAATGTCTGGTAGCTCTGGACAGAAAAAGTGACCCATTTAAATCTACAAATTAGTGTGCTTTGTTTAACAGGAGAGGAATGCAAACAGCTTCTTGGGTATTTCATTATTAATGGTAAGGAAACAATAAGTAAGTAAATATTTCAAGCGCTGTTGCTATGAAATATTGCACAGCATTCTTAGGCTGACTCGTTAAACTTTAACTAGTAGTTCTATCATATTAATGAACAACTATTCAAATGCCTTTGTTTGCAAGGTTACTCAAGGAAAGTATTCACACTTTCCTAGACACCACGCTGTTGCAAACTGGCCTTCAACGCTCTGAACTCCTCTCCTTTTTTCTTGACAATACCTTGCATTTTCTGTTATTTCCATGAGCTGTTACAGACAAATCCAGTGACTGTGAGCTTACCATAGTTGCCATCCACCAGCGGTGGATTAACTGACTTCTCCTAATTTATCTCCATTCTGATCGATTGGTAAAATACTTTTTAAAAATCCTGGATATCTAATCATGCTCCTTTCGGCCATTGACATTCAATGGCTTCACAATCCAGCTACTGGCTTCCCCCTGGAATTTTTGATAAAGCTGCATTGTGAGTGCGTTTTCTCCACTGTTCACCGACACATCTCAGATAAGGCTCAGAACCCACCCAAAGAAATTATGTTTTAAAAACTTCCATGACCAAGTGACCACAGCCCTGGCTTGGATGAAACATTTAAGGCTATTTTCTCACTGCATCAGGAATAAATGATACAACTTTTCTTAATATCTCTACAGTGAGGAATTACTAGTTAACAGTACTATGATATATTGCACTGCCATACTTCCATAGGCCATATGGAATATATGCCATATAGCAATATCAATATCAATATAAATATAAATATAAAACAAAACAGCACATCTGTGATGCTGTCATGGTATTCAGGCTGGTATTTGTTCCGCAGTTTGAAAGTGCCACCAAACATGCAGCTCGATAAAGGTGACAAAACCACATTGCTAGCTGAGCGTCCACGGAGGTATATCAAATATATAAAACGTGAATTTGTGTAAACACGTTAGCATAATAAAATGTGAATATGTAAATACAGTTAAGAGAAGAGTGTATCAAGAATTGACTCACTTTTGCGTGAAAAATTTTAGGGCTCCAATTCCAAAAGCCAAGCCAGGAGATGAGGTGAGATATCAGAAGCATCTTGACTGTGAAGCTCCTTGCCTTATTTTCTCCCTTTAAGGGTATGAAACACAATTAAAGTTATTTAAAATCCCATAAAATCTATATTGACACTGTGTGCAGTCTCAAAACAGCAAAAGAGCCTTGAAGTCCATCACCCTCACCAATGAATCGTGCCCCAATCTGAAATCTGTCTGTAAGCTCCCCATAAAATGAGCAAAAAAAATTAAAATTGGTTTATTTTGCCAAACTGTGACCTAATCTTGGGAACATTTTAATGGGGAAAACACCTAGTGATCTTAAATTATGCCCATTTTCAGATCTTTTAAGGAAAAAAGTTTATATGATTTGGAAAGAAGCCCAGGAACTACTCCATGCACACACTCAAACCAATAATTGACAGAGAAAAAAGGTGGGTGGTCCAAGACCTTCTTTCATGAAAATAACAATCATATGGAGATAGACTAATATTTCATTAAAATATTTTTGAAAAACACAGTGAATAGGTGGATGTTTTTATTCTTTTCAAAATAAGGTTCCTTAATGTGGGCATTTTTGTCAGAAATCCTGTGAATCCATCTCCAAAGGAACAGTCTGGGTATAAGGATGAGACTAACACAGGTGTGAACCCTCAGCTAGTGGCCACTTAATATGTCAAATTAAAAAGGCTAAAAAAGATAAAGTTGTTTGGCTTTGTGTCTTCTGAAAAAAAAAAAAACTGGGGAAAAAACAACTCATTCTTTAGTGCCACTAATTTACCAGCATTAATGGAAAATACTCTGGTTTCAAAAACTTGATTTTACAGTTACTATTGAGAATATTTCCCTGGAAGAAAAGCAGACTGATAATAAACCCCTGGTACTATTCACAATCCTTGTCCCTGGAAATTATATCTGGAGCTTTAAGTTATGAATATTAAATTACAGACTTACATTGTTCTGACATTTTCTAAAAGAGTTGGTGGTACCCATTTACAAAGTGAAACACTTGTAAGAAATTAAATGTAAATTAATTTTTTTGTTGTTTTGGTTTGGTTTTTTTACTTCTAATGCACTTGTAAAGGCCTGGTTAATGACCTTGAAATGAAAAAATTGCTTTTCAATTACAATAAATAGCCATGAAATGAATTTATTTTTCTGTCTTACCTACAAGGGAGCGCACAGAGTGCCTGCAATTTGAGTGTACTACTGATTTAATTGTACCTTAAAAGAAAAGTGGAGGTAAAAATAGACATCATTATATATGATCTCCACAGGTGTCCATGACCTCTCTCCTTCCCCCACAGGGATGAAAAGCTACATTTTATTTGGGAGAAAGACCAATTCAATTATGTCTGAGATGAAAGGCAGTGGGAACAGAATAGGTGTCTTTCCCACACTCAGTAATTGGGAATCCTACCTCCTACTAGATTACCTTTTAATTGACCCTTCCAGATAATGATGCCATTTAGGTGGTGGGAGCATATTAATAAGTACAGCACGGCATAAACTATTCATAAAAATACTGCAGACTGGGAGCCATAAAGAGAGATGGAATGGAACAGCCCAATTAGGGAGCTTATCATGTCAACGTAGGCAACTTCATAAGAAATGCTTTGTACAGCCAGGTGTGCTCTCTGGCCTAAATGTCAGTGATTCTGATACAGTGGGGGTGGGTGGTAGACAATGAGTTTTACCTTCAAAAATAAAATTTAATTATTCTTACTTTATGGCTCTGGTGGCTGTCCCAGCTATGTCAAATCCTTTAGCACGTTCAGCTTTGGAGCTGTTGTTTCCAGCAGAAACAGCAATCTGAAGTGGATTAAAACATCATAAGTGAGAAACAATCCGCAGAATTTTGTGTAGGATCGCAGCAGAGCAGTTTTGCTGTAAGATCAAACACTAAACAAAGCTGTGGCTCTGAGTGCTGGAACAGTGCATGGCAATAGGGCTATAAAGGCCCTCTCACTTTTTCTCCCCTGCTAATTTATGCAGGGAAAGTTCTCGTTGGAACATTTGGTTTTGTCTGCAATTATTTGTGACAACTGCCTAGTCAAGATAAAGCTACAGAGCGTCCACGTCTGACCAGGAATTATCAGGCAGGGAAGAGAGCCTGAAGGATGTAAGTGGTTGTCCATAGCTTTATCCCAAGATAGAGGCTGTATCCCAGCTGCTCCAAGCTGCCTCCACACAGCAGAAACAAAGGAAAGGAGGAGGCCTGACAAGGTATTTACAAGATTCTCCTCATGGCACAGCAGAAGACCTTATAAGGCTGAGTGCTGGGGCAGGGAGATGGCACTTAAAATCAGTAAATAAAAGTGCAGCAAGGATTCACTGATTTTTATATGAAATTATGGGATCCAGGCTAATTAATAGGCTTGGGAGTAGGATTTTGGAATGATTTTAGATAAATAAAAATATCAGCTCCACGCTTAGGATGACGGAATAGTAACTGAAAATGATTAGGGAAGGGTTAAAGAAGGAAGCAGGGACCATCATTCCACAGTGTAGCCTCTTACACCCACATTTTGGATGCTCCAGCTTTGGTCTGTCGCCTTTCTTCCATCTGTCCATCCCATACCTCCACCCACCTTTCCCCAAGACAGACTTGGAAAAGGTTCAAAGAAAGAAGATCAAAGACAGGGAATAGTTTCCATCTGTGGAGCAGTTAAGTAGACTGGACCCTGAGGCTGGGAGAAAGGTGTCTGAGGGAAGATAAAATATCCCATCATGGATAAATGGTGGGATAGTTGCTCCCTCTTTCTTCCAGCATGAGAGGTAGGCAACCTCAGATGAAGGTGGAAGGAGGCAGGTTCACAACAAATAATGGATTTTTTTTCAGCATATGAGCTTGTATTTAAGACACAAACATTTTAGCCACCAGATTCTGAGAAAGGTTGGGTAAATCAAAAATTGGGAGGGTAAGTTCTTGACCATATTGTACCTCTGCAGGCAGCAAGACTCCAAGCTATTCTTCTGTTCCTCATAATAAATGCATTCCATTTTTTCCTACAAAGGGTGCAGATGTTTCTCTCACAACACTCAGTCCGTTTTTCCCCTAAACCTTTCACACACTGATCCCAACACAGATAAGATGGTTGCTGAAAAATGAATAATTTAAAGCCCGGAGGATGATCGCAAAATAAGCAAATATCAGTGCTATCCTC